CTTACCTACAAATCACATTCATACTTACTTCAAAATACATCACTATAGAAGGCTTTTAAATGGTTGAAATGACCACTCAAGCCAGCCTATATAACAGCAAAAACATTCTCTCCTATGCCTACTCACCAATAATAATGCATTGTTCTAGCAATCCAAACACATGTCCTAACATGAAGAGTTTCCCTATTCTGATGTCCACTGGCAGACTAGCCAGAACCCGCCCTATGAAGGTCAGCTCTCCATCATGGGGGTTGACCGCTCCACTGGACAGTGATGACAGGGCACCAACCTGTTAAAGACCATTTATGATTTTTTTTTTGCTTTTTGAAAATAATAGATGTGCATGTACGTGTGCATTTTAATGCATGTGAGCATGTTTGTTTTTTGGACAATACAATTTAAATAAAAAATTTACTCCGAAATCCACTTCATATTCTTAACAACATCATGAAACCTATATCTTAGCAACAAAAATACTGACAAAACAAGAAGGCAAAGTTTCTCTATGGTGTGCTATTTTTGGCAAGTTTCACCTACTTCTTTCAGCATTAAAATGGTCCTTTCTATGTCATCTAGGTTTGGTGGGGAGAGAGCCATGCCAAGAATTGCTTTGGGCTCACCAAGATCCAGCAGTTTTACTTGTAATATAAGCTGATCTAGTGGACTCCTCTGAAATTGAAAAATGATTGTCAAATATTTTTAATCAAAAAATCATGTTTTTACATTTAATCTTACTTGAAAACTAATACTACTTTAGTAGGTCTATGTTTCAGCTTTTGTTTTCTATATATCTTTGCATATATGGTATATAATTTTTGTACATCCAGTCAAATTATAGCTCCAAGATGTTGCAAAAAAAAAAAAAAAGGCTAAGTTCTCATTCCTAAAAGAAGAATGAGTTTTGTTTCTGAAAATAAAATTTCACCTGCATCTCGGGTCTGCCATATTCCTGCATGTGCTCCTCATAGAACTTCCTATAGACCATCCTGTACACTCTGCCATCAGACACACGCCCAGCACGACCTAGAAAGAATGGAGACTGGTCTAGCATTTCTTGTTTATGACATTCCGATATGAATTTTAAAAATGAAACTATCCATTTTGGATGGACTTAATTACATTTAAGTCTTTTCAAAACCCAAAAGACTGCTACAATAATTCAGCTCTGGCATTTTATGTCTATAAAATCTGCCATGTTTTACCTCTTCTCTGGTTGGAGTTTGCCTTGGAAGCCCACTCTACCTGAAGTCTAGAGTAGTTGGTCTCTGGATCACAAACTAACACCTTGGTCAGGCAGAAGTCTATCACTGGATGTAGAAGAGAAATTTTACATGAAAATTATGTTTGTTAAGAGCAATAGAATATGAATATTCTACATGATTTTATCACTTGTGACTTGATCATATTATACTACCCTAGTTTAACTGACACCGATAAATAGAAGACACTCAGTATGGTAATAATTATTTCAATCTAATTGTCTAAATTCAGAAATAACTTCAAACATCCACTTCAGTACATCATGTGAAATAACTGTGTGTGTGTTAAAAATGAGCATACCAAACTATGTATTACTGTTTACTTAATTATGGTTTTATCCACTTACCATATTTAATATCAGGCACTGTGATGGAACTTTCTGCAATGTTAGTGGACAAAATTATCTGGAATCAAAAATGAATACTAGGCATAACTTTACAATCAGAAACTTTTCTGTTCTACTTATATTAATCCTTTCTACATGTCACTTTTTAAAGAAAATTTGATAAGTAAGCATATTTGTATCATCAATATTTAGGTTTAATCAATACATATGAATACCTTTCTGAACCCAGACTGTGGTAGATCAAACACCCTGGTTTGCTCTTCTGCAGTTATGGAAGAATGCAGGGGCAAAACCCAAAGCCTGAGGAGAAACAAGGCAAGAATAAAATTGCTTAATTCATAGGGCATCACATTATTGCCCAATTCATTTTAATTCTTAATATTTTACTTTTCTTATGACAGCCCACATGTCTCCATGTTCAATTTCATTAAATTAGATAATTCATGTCCTCCTAAATTAAATGTATTCAGCAATCACCTGTGTGATTCTGTGAGTTCTCTCAAATGGTCTTCCAGATCTTTTATCTCTCCCATACCTAAAATACAAGAAACACCACAGTTGGTGTGATTATGAAACAGAATTATTTGATTAACAAATAAATATTTCATAAATTATGTCAAATGATAACAGTAGAGTTCATTTTAAATTCAGTTTACAATTGTTCACTTAGGTTAGGCTAGCCTTCAAGTCTCTGTTGGTTTACAACTTACCTGGCAGAAATATCAGCACCGTTCCTCTTTTTGGAGCAAATCCATTGACAGTTTTACTTAAAGAAAAGATGGTATCAGTAAGTTTTAGCTGAGACATTAGGACAATATTAATTTAACATTCTTACCATTTCAAAAAGCAACCAACTATGAACATTGAATCCACAAGAATCAAAAGGAAAAAAGGTCTTGGGTTGTAGCACATAAACGTAGCACTCTTCTTTTACAAGACCAAAACAAAAATAATACAAAAATTTATCCTCATGATAAAACATGGTAGGATTTCAAACACAGATTTTCTATCCCAATGCTAAGCTCAGTATTGTATGTTTAAGATGAAATTGATATCTTACCCTTGATCTTGTATTTCTAAATTATCAAACTGCTGTACGAGTTTCTTGCACAGGTTCATCGACTCACTGGGTATACAAGGATTGTTGGGTTCTAGCTCAGGCAGCTAGATAAGAAATAAATAAATTAAAATATTTATTTGCAGTTATAATAATAATAATAATAATAATAATAATAATAATAATAATAATAATAATAATAATAAAGTTCCTTCAGTTGCAGAATATTAAACCATTTTTTTCTGAACTTAATAGAACATTTAAATTATGTTAAATTATTCAAATATCTTCAATGTCATAATATTATCTAAATTGTCAACCAACATCCACAGATTATGAGATATCATGCAATTAACGTAAAAAATAGCAATAAAATGATTCATTAACATGATAGTAATGTATTTATTTACATGAAAACACATTACGCAGAAAAACTGATAGTAAGAAGAAATATAGTTTACTCATCTATGCACCGATACAGAGAGGTACTGACCTCACCAAGAGTTTTCAAATCTTCAACATAATATTCTGACACTGTGTAGGCTCTTCCTTCCACTGACACAACAGGTGCAGGTTCTACCTTTCCTAGCACAGGGGTGCCAAAGTACCCAGCAAACATATCAGAATCAAATGTGGCTGACATCAAAACAACCTAAAAAAAATAATTTTAATGGTTGTCAGCTGCCATACATGTCTCAANTCTTGGGTTGTAGCACATAAACGTAGCACTCTTCTTTTACAAGACCAAAACAAAAATAATACAAAAATTTATCATGATAAAACATGGTAGGATTTCAAACACAGATTTTCTATCCCAATGCTAAGCTCAGTATTGTATGTTTAAGATGAAATTGATATCTTACCCTTGATCTTGTATTTCTAAATTATCAAACTGCTGTACGAGTTTCTTGCACAGGTTCATCGACTCACTGGGTATACAAGGATTGTTGGGTTCTAGCTCAGGCAGCTAGATAAGAAATAAATAAATTAAAATATTTATTTGCAGTTATAATAATAATAATAATAATAATAATAATAATAATAATAATAATAATAATAAAAAAGTTCCCTCAGTTGCAGAATATTAAACCATTTTTTTTCTGAACTTAATAGAACATTTAAATTATGTTAAATTATTCAAATATCTTCAATGTCATAATATTATCTAAATTGTCAACCAACATCCACAGATTATGAGATATCATGCAATTAACGTAAAAAATAGCAATAAAATGATTCATTAACATGAAAGTAATGTATTTATTTACATGAAAACACATTACGCAGAAAAACTGATAGTAAGAAGAAATATAGTTTACTCATCTATGCACCGATACAGAGAGGTACTGACCTCACCAAGAGTTTTCAAATCTTCAACATAATATTCTGACACTGTGTAGGCTCTTCCTTCCACTGACACAACAGGTGCAGGTTCTACCTTTCCTAGCACAGGGGTGCCAAAGTACCCAGCAAACATATCAGAATCAAATGTGGCTGACATCAAAACAACCTAAAAAAAATAATTTTAATGATTGTCAGCTGCCATACATGTCTCAAAAGTGTACATTCCCATAAAAAAGGTTTTCACAATAAGATCTTAATAAACCATATACAAGTTCATGTGGTAAAGTACCTACTTAGACCTTAATATGTGTGCAATTCCTCAAAAGGTGACCATTAAATGAGTTATACCTAAGTGAGCCTCTCAAATGCATTTTACACTTCCATCACAATCTTAAAATCTAAAAGATGTAAGATTTTTAAACATCTTAATTTTTTTGTGATCACTTCAGCTTGATAATTTGAAAATTTTAATAATCTCAAATGATGAACTGTACCCCATGTATGTTTGGTGACACTGAGGAATACATACCTTTACATGTGGAGAGTTACTACGTAACAGTTTCCTCACAACCAGAAGGCAAAAGTCAGAATCTTCATCTCTCTCATGAACCTTGTAAGATAAAAGATGGAAAATATGTTGTTTATTTTTGCACATTTAAGAATAAAAGTATAAATATATTTGGTTTCAAAATTTTGGACAACATGCATGTATCAAAATCAGAAACATCTATTCAAAGTTGTCATTAAAAACTTAATAGGAATAGGGTGAAATATCCAGTTTAACTAACCTCATCCAGTACCACATGTGTGAACTCCCGCATGTTCTTGGCACTAATAAGCTTCTGCAGCAGCACCCCAGTTGTCACATACATCAGCCTGGTGTCATCACTGCCAAAACGGTCCAATGCAACCTTGGGGCCGTANGAAAACATATAGAAACTGCTATCAATTTTTCTACTAAAGGAAGGGGAGGGGGGGGGGAACAGTTTTATAAGACATGGGTATAAGCACTAATTAAAGGTTGCAGGTAGGTGTCTACCTTTATCTATCATAAAATTTACAAGTGACTTCCATATGTTTGACATTCAAACTTACCTGATATCCCACCACACTGCCTAATCGCCAGCCCCTCTCCTGACACACCCTCCTAGCAATGCTCATTGCTGCTATCCTCCTTGGCTGAGTGACAACAATATTACAGTACTTCCCAGCTTGTGCATAGTGATCCAGAATGTACTGTGGCACTTGGGTTGTTTTGCCCGAACCTGTAGATCCTTGGATGACGGTCACTCTGTTGCTTTCAATGGTATCCACAACCTAAAATATGTTGAAGTAAATGTACAAGTTAAAGCTGCTGTCATTTGTTTTTAAAAATGCCCAATCATTTGATATGATAAAAAATTACAATGTAAATAGCTTCTTTAGTTTCCACTGATCTTTGCTTAATGAACAATGCATGCATTTAACATAACAAGTTTGTCAACTTCATATGTATCTGAAATAATTTGCAAAAATTCAATAGCTTATATGTCATTTGATGATAAAACGCAGCCAAAGTTGAAACATTGTATAAAAGATGATAAATTGTACATATGAACAAGTTGACTACGCCCAAACAAATTCTAATTCAACAGGGGAATATTACAATTTAGTGTGATTTTTTTTCAGAAACCGAAGGGGGTGGGTCAGGACTTTGTGTCTCCTTTGACAAGAAGAACGCTCTGTTGTAACCTTAAGGATTTTAACCAAATTACCATTTTTTTATTTCAGATAACTGTTATTTCATACTGAAATTCAGAGAGTACAAAATTTATAAAGTTTACAAAAATATACCTCAATACATAAAAATATCTAGGCAAATATATATAAACAACAACAAAAATACAATGATCAAACTCACATCTTCATGATAGTGTGTAATAGGTAGATTCTTATCATATGTGTGCTCAAAGTTGTAATTTCTATACACAGCAGTGGAATTTGGAGGTTCTTCTGGCAAGAAACTCACTGTACTCATGGTGTCACTTATACCTTCTAAATCCAGCTGATGTGAAGTATCAGAATCTCTGCCGAGAGACTGAAAGAAAAAAGAATGCCAACATATAATACAATATTTGGATACTTGTAGGTTGTACAACCAAAGAGTTCACTTAATTATTGGCTATTATTTTCCCTCTGTCAAAAGGTAGTTTAAGAAATAAATTGTCAATGGAGAGTTCTTAAAATGCACACATTGTGTAAGGAAGACCTTACCTGGTCAGTTTTAGTACACACCCCACCACTGATTAACTGGCTGTTTTCTACATCCTGATAATGTTTGGCATATTGTGTTTGATATGGGTTGCCTTCTCTTGTGTGTCTGCAAAGGAAACATTTTAAAATAGAAAATGCAGTCATGGGTAGTTCAGCACAATTTTCAATTTCCCGGCCATCAAGCTCCCTTTGTCATGTTGGAACCTCTGAGACCTTTGACTGCAGCTAGTTAACCAGGCCCCCATAACTCAAAAGCATCGCGTACTGTGAATAGTGATATCGGATAGACTACAGTGTATTATATAGGGCGAGTATGGGTGAGTTATAGAATCAAGACGTGCAATGCTTTTGAGTTAGTGGGCCCAGGCCAACCACAGGTTTATTCAGAACCACGAAGTGTACATATAACCAAATGCACATTTGCTCAGTGAATTTCTATCAGGTCAGAGTCATATGCATGTGACCATACTTAGCACTTATGAATGTCACATCTTGCTGACTTATGGTGTATCCGCTAATGTATATTAATACTGAACCCAGCTTCCAGGCTTTGCAGTTACTTTGAGTTTGCTAGGTTAACTATACACACAGACCTCCACCCCCTTGCCTCAGTTTTTGGCCTTATATGTTTAGAGCAAAAGGACAATGATTGGGATTATGCTACAAGCTGCAATATGACACACAAGGTGGGGAGATTCCTAGCGTTTTAATTCGATAACACGACATGTGCTTTGAAGTTTACCTCAGGTGATTATAAGTACCCAGCATGCGACCTCCCCCCCCCCCCAAAGGATTTATAAATAACGATTTACAAGATATCCAAAACAATAATTCGCATTGCATGTGTATCAAACAAGGATTTCAAATACATTACATATTTTCAATTACCTTTTATACCGCGGTACATATGGACGCGCTGGTTTCACTATAGGTTGCATGTTCTGATTCAACTCTCTCCCTCCAGATTTGCTCCGAGGGACCGTCTGAACTTTGGGGACTGCTCTTCCAATTCTGAACCAATCATCGACCTGTTCTAAGGTCAGTTCAGCTCCTAAACGACTCATATTTTAAAGGAAATTTTTAATGAAATTTCTGCTTTAGCCTTACAGCCTTAATGTAATGATGTACTACACGAAGTGCATGTTTACAGGGTCCTCCTTCACATGGATGTATATTTGTTGAGCGCATGCGCAGAACGTCCCTAAGTTTACTGTACTGTGCTTGGCGGTCTGCACAGCCGTCTGCAGACCTACCATCCTCTGAGTTGGGGAATCTGGAGACTGACAGATTTTTTTCTTTCGCAAAACCTGGTTATTTGGTTAAAATCCTTAAGGTTACAACAGAGCGTTCTTCTTGTCAAAGGAGACACAAAGTCCTGACCCACCCCCTTCGGTTTCTGAAAAAAAATCACAATAAATTGTAGGCTAATATTCCCCTGTTGAATTAGAATTTTGACTAGCTGATTTATGGTACTAATCCGTACCAAATGGCATCGTTCGCCCTCTAAAATACCAAAATACCAACCCGGGGGGGGGGGGGGTAGGCT